TCAATACTCTTCTCCAGCACCACAGCTTTTATGGATAAAAACCATATAGAATTAGGATCATTAAATCACCTAATAGAAATAAAGCAATTGTACAGTGACTGTAAAAAAAAAAAAAAAAAAAAGAACCTCCTAGAGTGAACACAGAAAGAGAAAAACCTGCTTTAATTCAGCCATTGCTCTAAATTTAGACTTCTAGCCTCTTATACCATGAGACATAAAGTTCTGTTCTTAGGGATCTCTGATAAGGAAGGAATTGCATGGCCAACCCAAAGTCACACTGTTAAAATCCACTAGCTGCTCCTTAAGAAAATCCTCCTGTGGGATTTACTGCCTCTGAAAATTCTGCTAGCGGGTCAGCTAGGGGTCAGTTCCAACTCAATGGTTCTTACCAACAACAAAACCACCTTGACACAAGAGTAACCAACAATAACTTGTGGTATTTCTGTGATCCATCAGCTTCTCCACAGGAGAAAGATGAACCCTCTCCTCCTGTGCTGTCCACAGCCTGTGGAAAAACTGCTGGAGGTCAGCTATGGGTCCGCTCTGACTTGATGGCAAACACCACCAATTAACTGTAGCAGATGGCAAACATATTCCTTTCTGCTTCCATTATTTTAACAAAATAGTATCAGCCTATTTCTTTTCCATGATTGGTGTTGTTTGTGTCCTCAAGTTTATTCCAATTCATAGCTACCCTACATACAACAGCTCTTATCCCTGCTCTATCTCAAGCCAATTTCATCATCTCTGGCACATCTAAACCATTACTCCACTCACAGAGTCAATTCTTCCAGGGTCTTCCTCTCTTCACTGTCCCTTCACCCTTCCAAGCATGACTTCTTTCTTCAAGGACTGGTCCCTCCTGGAAACTTGCCCAAAGCATGTGGGATGAAGCGTCAAAATCCTTGCATCCAAGGAGCAGCTTGGTTTCACCTTCTCAAGGGCAGACCTGTTTTAGAAGTCCGTGGTATGTTCAATACTCTTCTCCAGCACCACAACTCAAAGGCATTGACTCTTCTTCTAGTATCCTTAGTCATTGTCCAGCTCTCTGATGCAGAGCAAGTATTTAGGGTTCATTTTACTTGCATTTGGACACTTTCAGTCAGGTAGTTAGATTCTGATGATTGCCCCAAGGTTTTCAATTCCTGGTGTACATACACATCTCTCAGTATCTTAAGCTCTCACTAGATGCTTCTGTGAAGGACCTTTCTAGATGTCATTAAGAACAAGATCAGTTAATGTTGGAGGGAGTATATTTGATGGAACTGACTCAATCAGATGAGTCTTTTAAAAGGATTAGGCTCTTCCTTGGTGAAAGAGATTTAACTAGTGGGAAGAATCCAGTACACACACACACACCCTAATACTTCCCAGGAATCTGGGTTAGTGCAGTCAATTAAGAAATAAGAAAGCTAGAGTTTCAGAGACATAGAGGAAGACCCTCTATAGATGGATTGACAGAAGATTGAAATAATGTGCTCAAATATATATATATATATATATATATATATGGATAGGGCAAAGTTCTGATCTGTTGTTCCTAAGATTATTATAAATTGTAATTGACTCGATGACACCTAACAACAACATTTACTGACTTTTAGACTTGATGCTAAACTTTTTTAAGTATACAAATTCATTTAATCTCACCACTGTAGAGGTTACATTTCTGCAAGTCACAGCTGGTAAGCAGCTTCCTTAAGTTCATACAGCAAAAATGGCAAAGTCGGAGCTTAATATATGCCTCCAAACCAGATTCAAAGAAGGCCAAGGATAATCTTCTTGGTTACTAGGTATTTTACCAGATCATAAAACCTAATCAACAACACGATTAATGCTAGAAAGTCGCACTTCTGAGAGTGTTCGTTAAAGGAAGCAGAAAGCTTGTGTTCAAATAGCATTGAACAATTCCAAGCCTTAGCTTCCCCTTCTGCACAATGGTCAAATGGGAACCATTTAGCACTTACCCCAATCCAGGCATTATTCTAAGTACATCCCTTACATTAAGCAATTTAATACCATATTTGCACATGCGAGATTTTGCAACTGTTGTCATTTTACAAAGGAGAAAACTCATTAATTGAAATGTTAAATCATTTTTGGCTGCTAATCAAAAGGTCAGTGATTGTAACCCAGCAGTCACTCCTCAGGATGAAGAAAACAAACAAACAAACAAACAACCCACAAAACCACTCAAAACAAATGAAAAACCCAAAACTTTGTATTGTTGTTGTTGTTGATTGCCGTCAAGTTGAGCGCGACACATAGTGACTCTATGAATAATACATCTGAAGCCTTTTATAACTAAAAATTCTAATGGTGGCATGCCATCGGTTTCTGAAACTATAAATTTTAATAGAAGACTGTCTGCCTTTGTCAGAAGGAGGAGTGAGTTAGAATTACCAGCTTCTCTGCTCACAGCCTAGCACTTAACCTAGTATGCAACCAGGACTCCTTCTCAGGAGAAAAGGTCTGATGATCCGCTCCTGTAAAAATGAAAAACTTAAACTCATTGCTGTGGAGTCAGGACCAAAACACAGCTGATCCTCCAACATGCTTTCAAAGTTATATACGACATGGGTGGATAGTGCCCATCTTTCTCCTGTAAAGCTGCTAATGGATTTAAACCAGCAGAGAAGTACTACCTTTGAGTTAGCAGCTCAACCTGGTAAAGATTACAACCTGTTGTTGTTAACTGCTGTGGTGTCAGAACTATCTCATAACTCAACCTCCAGCAAGTTTTCATAGGCTGTAAAATTGCACAAGAGGAGATTGCTGATCTTTCTCCAGAGGAGAACTTCGTGGATTCGAACTGACAGCCTTTGGATTGGCAGCACACCACCTTACCACTAGGCCCCTAGATACACTTCTTCCCCAAAGGCATTGGTTCTCAGTCCTGGCTTCACATTAGAATTGCTCAAAATGCGTTTAAAACACACTCAGTCCATGCTCTACCTTGAGAGATTCTCATGTTTGTGATCTGGACAGGGCTGGACAATAATATTATTTAAAAGTTCCCCTATGATTTGCATGCAATCCAGGGCTAAGAAGCCTAGTTCTACAGTTACTCATGATGGCATTTTCTACTTTGAAAGGAAATACCTGAGTGTCCTAGGACCTCCAGAAAGAGTGTCCCTTTGTAAATCCCATCAGGAAAGGTGTAATAGGTGCAGGAGTACGGCCCAGTGTCATTCACGGTCAGCAGCTGCAGTAGGAGGCTGTGGTCAGGCCCAGGCACCACTCGCTCCCTGAAGTTCTGGCTGATGTGCCACCCAAGGTCAAGGTGATGAATGGCTAGCATTTGGTCCCGTTGCATCCAGTTCACCTGGATCACCTTGGCCATGGTGGAGAGAAGGTGACATTTTAAAGTGGCAGAACCACCTTCCTCTGCAGAAATGTTCCCTGATGTTACGAGTTTCCCTGCCTCGGCTCCTAGAAAAGAAAAGGAAAAATGCTTGAGCAAATGCAGCATCAAGGGCTGGTCTTGAACACTTCCATGGAAGTCTCAAGGGGCTTTGAGGCCAGGAGTGGGGTTCAGAATGATAATCTCTCTGGTGCATTCTGTCACTCCTCCACAGAGTTCTTCAAGTTGTCTCCATTTAAAATACACTCCTCTCCGTGCCTGCCATTCAAGTTCTCAGTACTATCCTACCTCCCTTTCCAGTCTCCTTTCTCCCTCCAGCACCACTATACCAGGCCAGGCAGCCCCTCTCCCTCCATCATCTCTGCTCTCATTGCTTGCTTTCACCTTTCTCCTACAGCCTCCACTTGAAGGCTGATCAAAGCCTCCGCCTACTCCTTGGGGACCCCAAATCCTTCCCTTTTACACTCACCATCTGTTCTGTGTAAATATAAATAAGAAACACTTTCTTTCATGCTTAGTTATTATTATGCAATTTAGCACTTCATTCGCTCAAGATGGTTTGTTGTTACATGACTCAGTGATAAGGATTATTTTCACACTCTTGATTTGTCTCTCCAAGTATGTAAGACGAAGTCTCACTCTCCTTGACTCCAAGTGGCACCCTGGCTGCACTTCCTCCAAGATAGCTATGTTTGCTCTTTTGGCAGCTCGGTCGTCTTTGCCTTGGAAAAGGAAAATATGCTTGGAAAAATGGCATCGGTGAAGGAGAGGAAGACCCACAACGAGATGGCTTGACACCGTGACCAAAGTATGGGCTTAAGCACAGCAGTGCTTTTGAGGAGGGCGCAGGGTCAGGCCAAGTTTAAAACACTGCGAGTCAGAGCTGAGTCACAGGCACCAAACAGCAGCTACAATAAGACTTAATCTCCTACTTGGAACGGAGGGAGCTCTGGTCACTTAGTGATAAGGAGTTGTGCTAGCAATCCAAAGGCAATATTGTTTATTATTATTATTATTAATAATTTTAATGAAAATTTACAGAGACTTTGGATTTCCAATCATTTGTTGTTGCACTTTTCTCCCTGTCTCCCCCTATCCCAATCCCAGTATACTCTTTTCTTTAAAACGTAAAAGAAAAATTCTTTCATTGTTTTACAACCCCTCCCCTCAGGTCCACTCCACTATGCAGCCTTCGTTCTGGACTCCTGTCATGACTGTAATACCTAATCACATATCCCTTTTAAACAGTTTTCTCCCACATCTGTTTCAATGCAGTAAACATTATTTATCCCATCCTTCTCAGTCTACCCCTAAAACCGATGTCAGTCTTGTTTTACAACAGTGGCATTATGCAGTATTTGTCCTTTTGTGACTGAGATACTTCACTCAGCCTAATGTCCTCCAGGGTCACCCATTTTGAATAATATTGCACGAGTTCCTTATTTTTCAAAGCAGCGTAGTACTCCATTGTGTGAATATATCACAACTTCTCTATCCATTTGTTTGTTGATGGAAGGGCAGTCTGTTTAACTACTTCTTAAAAATCACTGGAGGGTCAGCTGTGTGTCAGATTCTACTTGACAGTACATAACAGACACTTAGACTATAAGCCCTTAGCCAACACCACTTCTAGTTTGGAGTTGAGTGTGCATTTTGTTTGGTTTTAAGAGTTTTTTGTTTTGCTTTGTTTGTGTCTTCCAACAGACTAGTTTTTATTCTGGGTGCAATATCCTTTGGCATAATATCTGGCAATTTGGTAGATTAAAGAATCTGGTGTTTTAGTGGTCAAGAATTGAGCTGCAAACCCAAAGGCTGGAGGTTTGAATCCACCAGGCGCTCTGAAAGAGAAAGATGAGTAATTTCTTCCCTTACAATGTAGTCTCTGAAAACTTATTGAAGAGTCTGCCATGAATTGGTTCTGACTCAACGAGATAGAACAACAGTGATGCAATGGTTAAGCACTCCATCAGGAGCTCTTTGGGAGAAAGATGTGGCAGTCTGCATCTATAAAGATGTTCAGCCTTGAAAACATTGAGGGCAGTTCTACTCTGTCCTGAAGCGTTGCTATGAGTCAAGATTGATTGGACAGCAATGGGTTTGACTTTTTGCGTCAAAAACCAAAGTTTCTTTATACAGTTTTCCCTCTCATCTATTTAACTGCAGTGCTCATTATTTATCCCCTCCTTTTTCTTTTTATGTGCCAGGATGTTTCTTCCAGCATTACAATATTGAAAAGAAATAAATTGGTAACAACTTTACATGTCTGTTAATAGGGAACTCATTACTTAATGGAGACTCTATATGAGACACACTGACACAGTGACTTTCACAGTGGGCTTTAGTAGGACACTGATCAGGAAGTTAGCATGGGATAGGGCAACGTTCAGATCTATTGTTCATAGGGTTGCTCTGAGCCGTAGTGGACTTGATGGCACTTAAAGAAAACTAGGGAAAAGTGGTACAGCCACACGACTGACTACTAGGTAGCCCCTTTGGAATACAGACAAGGCTGACACTTTAGGACATGATAAATAAAGAAATTAAATTGTAGATTGCCTCTCACAAAACGACCCACTTCCTTATTGTGCCTAACTGGAACATGAACACACATGTACACACACACCCTCCCCTTCCCCTAATTAGATCTCATTTCCTCAAAAGGATTTTAGGACTAAGTCCACTATCCTGGTATGGGGCCAGCTGGTTAGGTGGCAGCTTTGCGCCAGTATTTATCCCCTCTTGAGGGAAAGAACTGTCTAAAAGAAATATATGATAAGGTAGTATTTGCATGACAACAGTCCAGAGTAAGAGGTGCACAGCAAAGTGGACTGGGGGGTGGGGAGAAGGGAGGAAATTGTACAACAATGAAAGGCTTTTTTAAAAGAGAAAAGAATGGGAGGGGTGGGTAGGAAGGAAAATGTGAAACAATGAAAGAATGGAAATCCAAGTTTTCTGTAAACTTTCATTAAAATATCAGTTTTTTAAAAATGTCACAAAACAAAAACATACCAACAAAACCCCCAAGGTTTCCAAGAGAGAAAAAACCTGGAGATCTGCATCTGTAAAGATTGTTGTTGCTGTTAGTCATTGAGCTGACCATGACTCATCATGACCCTGTCAACAGTGGATCTGACCCTTGCCCTGTCCTGTGCCATCCTCAGCATCTCAGCCCTACATGAGCCCATTGTTACAGTCACTGTGTCAGACCATCTCACTGAGGGGCTTCCCTTCCTTCACCGACCCTCTGTTTCTCTAAGCATGATACCGTTTTCCAAAGCCTGGCCCATCCTAGCAACATACCCAAAGTATGTGAGGTGAAATTTCGCTCTCGTATTTGCTTCTAAGGAGCACCCTGGCTGCACATTCTCCGAGATATATTTGTTTTTTTCTGTTGGCAATGGCAATCTATGGGTGTTAAGAAGTTCCGCTGCCAACCCTAAGGCCAGCAACTGTTCGAATCCACCAACTGTTTGAATCCACTAGCTGTTTGTGGAGAGGAAAATGGGACATCTTCTTCCATGCAATTTACTGTCTCTGAAAACCCACTTCAGGGCTGACTATTAGTTCGTTTGAAATACAAAGTAAGTAACAGTAACAAAGGGGTCTATAAAGATTACAGCCTAGAAAATCTAATGGGGTAATTCTACTCTGTATTATGGGGTTGCTTTGATGGCCTTGTGGCAAGAAGCTGTGCTGCAATCCCAAAGGCATGTGGTTCAAATCCACCAGCTGCTCACTGGGAGAAGGATGGGCAATCTCTTCATGTGCTTTTTACTGCCTCTGAAAACCCACCAGAGGGTCATTGATGGGTCAGTTCCAACTCGATGGTATGCAACAACATAAGTCATAACTGACAGGATGACATCTAATAAAATTTGAACAACTAATGTTTGAGGTGCCAAAAAGGACCTTCAGAAAAGCTGAGCATTCCAAGCAAAAGGATGCTTGAGGTAAAATTTCGTACCAGGCAAAACCATGCTCTCTTTCACTTAACCACGTCAATACCTTTTAAGGATAGCTCTACCCTCAATTGGTCCAGAAAGCAGCACAAAAGCTTATTTTTACTAGATTTTAAATATTTGTACCCTTCCTGTAAAAATATTTGCTTACAATTTTTAATATAGAAGGTAATAGATTTAACTTTAATTTACTCCTTCATGGTAGAATGCCTGGAATTTGTAGAGGAGGCATTTTTGATCTACAGAAACTATGTACAGAATTTTCCCAGGAGGATCCTGTTTTCATAGTCTCAAGCACGCAAGAAAAGGAAAAAGAAAAGGAATCGAGCATATGTAAATTTATAGAATAAAAAAACCTGTCACTTCTTTTTCATCGTTTTGTCTTCTCTAAATCTTCTTAGGTTAACCAATCAGTCTCAGGGGTTTGCAGGTCCACTGTTTATCTTTCAAAGTAGAATTAAGCCTCACTCTCAGAAAGTGTCTTTATCATAATATAGTACATAGAATACTGGACAATGAGAGTTTTCTCCCCTCACATAAACATAGCCTTACTCTTGAGCCTTTCATGTCTGCGTCTTCTGTTCTTCATGCTGTGTTTCTCTTCCTTCTCCCTGTCCCTGTCCCCAGCTCTTCTGCCCTGATTACAAGGGAGATTTTTAAGCCTTACCTGAGACCAGCAGGGGAGCCTGTCTCAGGCCCTGGGCCCATATCAGGAGGAGACACCACTGCATGCTTCTGGCCAGGACATGCAGGAAGCAGATGTGGCCTCTTCTGCCGCCGAAACTGGCCGACTGAAAATGAGAGGGTGAAACTGAGCCTATGAGGGAAGAGGGTCTTGGAAAAACCAGCTTCAGCAAAAACAATGTCAAAGACCAAGCTCTCAACAAGCACACTAGCTGTACACCAAGAGTGAACCACAGGAAACCCATTAGAAAATAAACAACAAAAAAAATGTGGTTAGAGGTATACTGGTATTTAAATTGCTTTCGTCAATCTATTGTTTTTAGATTATGTCTTTTTGCACCTTTATTTTTCAATCACCAGTTATCTAAAGAGTTCAAAGGCATCTGTTCAATGCCCTAGATTCTGCAGAGCTCATTGCCAGAGGGGAAGTCCTCACAGGCTCCCTGACCTCAGCCTGCCAAACCTTATCCCAGCAGGGAGATCCACGTGTAGGCACTTAGAGGCTAGAACCTAGATTGATAATCCTGTAATCAAGAAGCATTTGTTGCTGTTGTTAGTATGTGCCGTGGAGTCACCTAAGACTAGAGCGACCCTGTGTATAGCAGCTCTGAACCCTGCCCTGTCCTGAGCCAGTCTCACTAATTCCGACACACCAACCATTTATTTTGGTGAAAAATCTGAGACTATGACCCTCCAGCCACCCTTTCACCCTGGAGCACGATCATCCTTATTGGCATAACTTTGAGCCAAACAATAGGTAGGCCTATCAGGTGAAGAAGAACACCAGGAGGTGCTCACTCGCCCTACAAGATCAAAAGGGAAGCATTTGTCCAGGAATAATAGTCAGACAGTAGGAATGGAAAGGATAGAAGGATGAAGGGAAATAAGATTCACAGAGATCAAGTGGGGAAAGCGCTGTTCCAACGTGAGGATTGTAATCAATGTCATCGAACAAAATATGGATAAATGGTTGAGCAGAAAACTAATCTGCTTTGCACACTTTCATTCAAATCATAATAAAAAGATCTTTTTGTTTCTTTGCATCTTAAAAAAAATTAAGGGTCATTTATTTTTGGAACAAGACAGAAATGAGACAATGGTCTTAGAGAAACTGTTTCTGAGTGAAGCTTTCTCTTCAAATTTTGTCCCTTCTGTCTCGTTATCTAGATGAGACTTTGTTAAGTTCTAGTTTCATTTCTCTAACACAGTCAAATCAGAGGAAGCCAGATGGATGGGTTTTTTTCTCATGCATATTGGCTCCATGAGGGCTGGGGGAAAGACAAGGATTAATCCCAGTGGCCTGTCCCAGGAAAGGATTGAGTGACTTTGTCTGGAACTCCCAGCTTATCACCACATCCTCCTGTAAGACCCTTAAACTTCCCTCCCTCCTTGTTTCCCTCCTCTTTCCCTTCAAACTTCTATCTTTTGGTTCATTTGACCTTCCAGTGCCTACAAAGCACCAGTCAAAACAGAAACAAGGATGAACAATCCCAGCCTCTGTTCTTCATTTTTCAAACTAATAGAATTTTATTACAAGAACCAGATGCATTTTGAAATCAGATGCATAGGACTTGTCCCGCCTCATTTCTGTTGCTAGAAAACTCCTAGTTATCACTCATCAGCCTGCTGAACAGTTCTTTTTTCCGAGACATAGATACCATCCAAAAATTTTCAGATAGCCTTGTTTTTAACTGGTTTAGCCTGCTGAGTCAGTGCAGCTGAATTTGATACAAGCTCAATGTCATTTCCTTCAAGAATTAACTCATCTTTCTGGGCTTGAGATACTGAACAAGCAACACCTGGTCTCATCCAAACTCTCCAAATGTATTTTTCACCCAAGAAGTTTCGAATTTCAACCAGAGATCCACTCTCTTGAATCACAACGTTGGTGGGGAAATGAGCATACACAAGCCTCATCTTGTAAGGAGAGCCCAGTGTAACACATGTAACACCCTCAATCATGTTCTGTACGTGGTTACAGATGGTGCAAACAGTAGCCAGTTCCTTCCTGTTTCCCCACCATTTGTCAACAGGAATCCTCCTTTTTCTTTCTGAGGAGACTGAACTCTACATTGATATGATTGAAGTCTCTCTGCAAGGTTCCCTGAGAGCCTTTCATGGAGGCCCTTCAGAGTAATGTTGACTTTCTCTGGAATGTTGACAGTCTGGTTGCCGAGAATGGTCTTCATTCTCGCAGTTAATGTGACAAAAGCAGCCTCTGTTCTTCAAGAGTTTACAGTTGAAGCTTTCTTTGTTGAAGCCACACTCTAGAGAGGATATGGGGAAGGTCCCCATTCATCTCCTGTGGGGCTCATGCCACTGCTTGCCTTTGGCATTCTTTGCAATTTAAATCCTAAAAATTTGCAGTTTTGTGAGAGGATAAAAGGCATCCAAATCTTGGTGCACCAATCATCCATTCCAGCACAGGACCTGGGCCATCGTACTTTCCAGGTTTCAGTCCTATGTCTCCCCTGCAAGGAGCGCCTGACCCCTAACTCTACACTGTGACCCACACCTTTCTATCCCCCAACCCCTTAGGTCACCAACTCCTCCCTTTGACCTAAATTTTGTCCTTGAACACTCCCATCGTGACACAGCTCATCAACCCCTTTCAACAGTCATTTGAAGGAGCACTGATACCTAATACATGTCTGAGGAAGGTACCCAGGCTGAATCAGAGAGACATCACCAGAAGAGCTTATCAAGCAGGGCTCAGTGGGAGAGGACACAATCGAAAGCAGCTAGTCAGAGCACAGGGCAGGGCAGAGCGGTAGGGAGAACATAGGCAAGAGCAGCCCAGAGCACAGCCAGTGGCTTTGGGGTGTGAAGAGTGTGCAGCCTGTGTTTCTACAGTGGGAGTGAATGGAGCCATAGAGGTTGGGGACCAATCTGACACAGTGAGACTTCCAAAGAGGAAAATGAAAGTGGATTTTTAAAAAAGTTCATTAAAGCATTTTCTTGCTTATTTCTATTCAATCAAACACAAAAGGAACACAGTCAAGACGATTTTGATCAAAGAGGGTCATAAACAATAGAGAACAATGATTAATGTACTGTTGTTGTTGTTGTTGTTATGTGCCATGGAGTTGTTTGCAACTCATAGTGATCCTATATATAACAGCTCTGAACCGGGCTCTATCCTGTGCCAATCTTATTGTCTCTGACACACCTACCCCCATTACCCCCGTCACTGAATCAATCCATCTCATCGAGTGTCTTCCTCTCCTTTGCTGGCCATCCACCCTCCTAAGCATGACGTCCTTCTCCAAGGACTGGTCCCACCTTGCAATATGTCAAAAGAACATCAGATGAAGCTTCAGAATCCTTGCCTCCAAAGAGTAACCTGGTTTCACCCTCTCTAGATACTGGAGTGAGATAAAACCAAAAATCAAACCCGCTTCCTGAGTTCAAATCTACCCTGCTTTGGTGAACCAAATGCAAAGTCTCACTGTTATCAAGCTTCTTCTGACTGGCAGTTACCCTACATCAGATTTCCAAGGCTCTAAACCTGCAGGAAGAAACTGCTCATCTGTCTCCCGCAGATCAGCTGGTGGGGCTGACCTGCCAATCTTTTCATTTAGTAGCCCGACATGTAACACGATATTCCACTTAGGGCAAGTTATTTAACCTTCTTAGTCCTGAGTTTCTTCATCTCCAAAAATTTTTGACAGGGCACTTACCCGCACAACAGCCACACTGAACAGAGTTGAAGCTCTGGCAGCCTATTTTTGCTGCCAACTCAAAGGCAGATGATTTGATTCCACAAACTGCTTTACAGGAGAAAGGTGGGCAATTTACAGCCTCTGAAAAATCCATTGTTGGGTCAGCTATTTGTTGATTCCGACCTGATGGCACATAACAACAATAGCATTGATAATGATACTGTTGTTGTTGCTATGTGACATATTTTGCTGCAACTAAAAATCCCATCTTTGACTGAAAGAACAGATTTTTGCTCAATCTCTTCATTCTCTTAATAAATTTGAGAAAAGGATATGTGAATACAACTCTCCTGAACAAAGGAGGCTCACTATACCAGGTTGCCTTGAAGCACGATAAATGGCAGGGGAGTCTCCCCAGGAAATCTTGCAGAAGTCCTTTTGTGAGTCTTTTGACAGAGACTCTCCCTGGAAACCCCACTGATAACCATCGCTCACTCAGTAGCAGTCGCAGTTGGACCTGAGATTCACCGCTGTGAGAACTGGATCTGGGGCCAGAGCTCTCATGGCCTCTCCCACCCTCATAGCACACCTCTGAGGTCAGTCAGAAGCTAACGCACATTTCCACGGAAATGTTCTAAAAGTAGCCACTATTGAGTATGTGGGCGGGACAGGGCTGCTTAGTCTTGATGCTGCCACCCACAAAGGAGAAGTAGCGCTGGCCTACCATGGCAAAGCCTCATCAGACCCCTCATCTCTGCACAGCCCGTCCTCCCTCAGCTCTTGAGTCTCAGATGAGCCCACAGTGGCTGCTAAGGCACAATCCTAGGAACCTGCACTGGGCAGAGAGGCCTGTTGGTGGTTGCACTTTCCACAGCTCTGTATGCCTGTGTGGGTCACACAATTGGGCTTCTCTCCCTGCACAATCTCTCAAATTATCTTTGGACTTCAGCCTCTCCAGTCTTCTCTCTTGCCCAGAGTGTCATGAGGGACTTCCAGGACATTACCACTGTCTTTTCTAGCTTCTTCTTTGTCTCTGGTCAAGAGCAAATCTTAATAGAATTCATTGCCACTAAATCTGACTCATAGCTGACCCTCCAGCAAATTTCTGAGACTATAAATGGCACGAGAGGAAATTGCCCATTTTTCTCCTGCAGAGCTTCTGGTGGATTCAAACAGCAAGAAAGACATTGGCCTTTTTGAGTTAGTAGTAAAGTATTATAATGAAATGTGTAAAAAGCTACAGTCAGGAGAACAAGAGGGCCGAACATGCTCAGCATTTGTTAAATTAAACAAACTGAAAAACAAATTCAAGTCTCAAATTGCAATACGTAAGGATGCTTTGGGCAGAATATTAAGTGATCCAGGAAGCATTGAAAGAAGATGGA